ATATATATATATATATATATAATATATATATATGTAAGTACATGTATACGTATTAACTGCAGCTATAAGGAGACAAATAAAATAAATAAAATAAATAAATAAAAAGAAGAAAAAATAAATAAAATAAAATAAATTAGATGGCAAGGAGACACTTAGTCCCCAACCACTGCATGCACGGACAGTCCGCTGCAGTTGCTGCACTTGCTGCAGTTGCTGCAGCAGCAGCAGCTGCTGCTGCTCCTGCTGCAGTTGGTGCTACATTTGCTGCTGCACAAGCTAGCAGCACATATGCAGAGTTACGCCGCGCCCCCACTTCCCTCCCGCTGCTGCTGCTGCTGCTGCTGCTGCTGCTGCTGCTGCTGCTGTTGCTGTTGCTGCTGCGGTTGCTGCTGCTTGGTTGGTTTCCCTTCATCAACATCCATTGGACATGCATCTGCAGCAGCAGGAGGAGCAGCAGCAGGTGCAGCAGCAGCAGCTGGTGCACCAGCACCGGAAGCTGCAGGTACTGCTGCATCTTGTGTTGCTGCTGCTGCTGCAGTGTCTTTGGAGACAGCAGCAGCAGCAGCAGCGTCACTTTGCTGCGAGGACTCTGCATCTCCGCTACTGCCACTATCAAGTACAGCAGCAGCAGAAGCAGCAGCAGCAGCAGCAGGATTTGCTGCTCGTGATTTGCTGCTGCTGCTGTGCTTCTTGTCTAGCAGCAAATCTTCTCCCTTTTGTATACTGTCTAATATCTCACATAATGCCTCACAAGACACCTGCAGCAGCAGCAGCAGCAGCAGCAGCAGCAGCAGCAGCAGCAGAAGCAACAGCAGCATAGAAGATTATGTAATAGCAGCAACAATAGCAACATCAGTAACAGATACAGCAGCAGACACAGCAGCAACAGCAACAGCAGCAGCAGCAGCAGCAGATACATACAGACCCATCACCAGACACAGCAGCAGACCCATCACCAGACACACCAGCAGCAGCAGCAGCAGCAGCAGCAGCAGGAGCAGCAGCAGCAGCAGGAGTATACCTTTTTCATAGGAATAAGATCAAATATATGCGAATAAAAAAGATAAAATAATCTTTGCATGCGCTGTATAAAAAAGGGACTGCAGCAGCAGCTCTCTTGCTGCTGCAGCAAATCTGCTGCTGTGTCTTGCTGCAGTTTTATATAATATTCATTTAATTTTATACGTAATTTATCTGTTAATCCTAGCTGTATATACACCGCAAAAAAAAAGACACACATTTATTTATTTATTTATTTATTTATTTATTTATTTATTTATTTATTTATTTAGTTTATTTATTATATATATTTGTATTTATTTATCTATATATATTTATATTAATAAATAAATAAATATACAAAAGAGGCAGCAATATTATATTAATATTTATTTATTGCTGTTGTTGTTGTTGCTCCTGCTGTTTCTATTGCTGCTGCTGCTGCTGCTGCTGCTGCTGCTGCAGTGCAGTGTATAATTGGGGTGTATGCTCACCTCTAGATAGTTAGCAGGAGGAGGATAATCATCAAGGAGATACCATTCCTCTGCCTGGCGCAGCAAAGTAATAGGAGGAGGCTGCAGCAGCGGGAAAGGTTCTGCTGCTGCTGCTGCTCCTGCTGCTGCTCCTTCGGGTGCTGCTCCTCCTGCTGCTGTTGCTGCTGCAGGTGTGTCCCATAACACCAACCAGTCATAGAAATCAGCTACACAGTCTCCTGAGGAAAAAGAGACACAAAAGGAGACAGCAGCAGATATTGCTGCTGTACTTTGCTGCTGCTTAGCAGCAGTGCTGCATAGCAGCAGCAGCAAACAACACAATTGCAGCAGCAGGGTGCTGCAGCACTCGCACTGCCAACTGCAGCAGCAACAGCGGCAACAACAATAGCAACTGTAGCAGCATCAATGCCAAGCAAGAGCAGCAGCAGCAGCAGCAGCAGCAGCAGCAGCAAGACGCACTTGGTGCTCCTAGCCTTCTCTTCCGTGGGGCAGCAGCAGCAGCAGCTGCTGCTGCTGCTGCTTTCTGTAGAGAAGCAGCAACCTCAGCAGCAGGTTTCTTAGCAACAGCAATTGCTGCTGCTGCTGCTGCTGCTAGTCCGTCTGCGTCTGCTGTCTCCCCCCCTGAATCCGATTGTCCCTGCTGCTTCTGGGAACTATCCTTACCTGCTGCTGCTGCTGCAGGTGCAGCAGCAGCAGCAGCAGCTGCTGCTGCTGCTGCTGCTGGATTGGCAAGAGCACGAATGGCAAGATTAGCACAGTGCTGCAGCAGCGGCACATTGGGTGTAGCTCCGCTGTCTGTGCAGTTTTTTGCTGCTGCTGCTGCTGCTGCAGCACCCACCGCTGGATCCGCCACAGCAGCAGCAGGTGAACTAGCAGCAGCAGGAGCAGCAGGAGGTGCAGCAGCAGCAGCAAATGGTGTTAATATATCATGAGTTAATGGTAACAAAGATTCCTCAAAGCTGCTGCGTCCCTTCCATAGCTGCCATAGCTCCTCGCTGCACATCATC